TTTCGTGATTTACTTTTTTTGATGGTTTAACGAATCAGAATCCTATTTAACCAACTTTCCTCTATCCCAGTCGGTATTTGAAATACGATAATATTTTTTATCTCACCGGGATTCTGTAGTTTTTTCAATCATTATCACTGGCAACAAACTGGATTCTGTTTTACCCCTGGAATGAAGTTGATTGATCTTAAAGTTTCCTTTTTTTCCTACCAATGAGTTTCACTGTTAAGGCTATAACTTTCCCGGTACAAGAAGTGAGATTGACTTGGAAGGGGAAAAGTCTTGGAAACCTGTGCCTTTTCATCTTCATCATTTTCATCTTCATCATTTCCATTAAGTAAAAAAATGAAACAAAATTCAGGTTCACCGACCTCGCCCATTAAATAACGAATCGGGCATCAAAGGGAAGAATGCAAAGGACAAATATCAGCATCAATAATCTAATCATGAGGAGCGAAATATCAACACATCATCGCCATCAAAAATCCATTACAATAAGAGCCCATTCAATTGATCAAAACGGTTAAAGAATAAAAGCCAAACTCATAGACAAATGTATAGAATGCAATAAAACTTGGCTTGAAAATGAGAAAAAACAAAACAAAACGGTGAAAAAGATGAAGTAAAATGATAGGAAAAATTAAAGGAAAAGATTATGTGAGTGGTGAGGATAACAATAATGATAATGATAATAGTAATAAACGTTTGAAGACAAAAACACGCAATAACCCACCCTCTCACTTCCTTACAAGAGTCCGTAGGGTAGAAAGAGTAAGAATATCATCTTCTTTTAGCAACAACATAATCATCATCACCTTGAAGAAAGTAACTGAAGAGATTGTTGCTTGTGATAAACAGACTTAATGTACTGTTTAGCTATAATTAACAATGATAACAACTCGGGTTGAAGGTGAAACTGCGTTTTGGGTTGAAGGGAGACACATTAACGAGAGAGGACGAAAGAAAGAAATGGTGAAAACATGAAGAAAAAGCCTAAGCACGAGCTGAAAATCCTTAAATTAGCACTGGTTAAAGATGAGCACGTAGATCACAAAGAAACAGGTAAAATAAATACTATCAGTTAACATTCACAGCAGTTGTTGGTTATAGCGAAAAAAAAGTGGAAGACAAAAGAGGCCAAAAGATGAAGAGAAAAAAATATCTTAACAAAAATATGTTAAAATGAGAAGTAAATGATGATGATGATGAGAATGATGATATGAACGTGACTCCGTGAAGATAAATGCAAAGCTAAAAAATTATAATCATAATTGTAAATACATTAAAACTCATAAGTTATAAATCTTGGCTAAAAAGTTTCAAACTTGATTAGAGTCTAAAAAATTGCGAGACATGCTGCTCTTAATGGCTGACAAAAATGAAAATGGCGGCAAATCCCAACTATCGGATACTTGGATCCAAAATAGAAAATTAATTAATTAAAATTATAAATTACTTCATTTCTGATCAAATTAGTGATTAACTAAAATTGATAAAAAAGCAAACAAATAAATATAATTAGATGAATACAGATTTGGGTTAAATTGTCGACTAAAAGGTAATTAATGGCCAAATATCTGAAGATTGGATTGAAATTTAAAAAGATAATGATATGTATTGATATCATCGATTGGGTTGATCAATCTTTATCAAATATCGATGTAAATCATGCATTTAAATTTGATGCTGATTAGTTGATTGTAAAAAATCAGGAGGAAATCAAATTAAACCAATCATTACCATAACTAATTTGTGTATTTAACTGTGGTTTAACAAGCTGGTTTCATTTCCTATTCAACATTTTCATTCTTCTTGGGTAACCAGATAAAAAACCGATCTCTTGTAATGGCTAAAGGAGTTGCCGCTCTTTTGGTTAGCCTTTGTTTCAACTTCTGGTAAGTTTTCCTTGATTTGTCTTTTCTCTTCTGATTTTTTTTTCTTTCTTTTTCTAAATCGGTTTCTCTTTTCATTATGTTTCAGTGTTGCCGTTGTTTCTAGTGATGTAGATGATAGTACAGTAATAATTATCATGACAACAAGGAAAGAATCATTCATGTAAACACATTCATCTGACGTGACATCAAAGTGACAAAAGATTGACACAGCAATTTTCCAACAAGTTTTACTTGTATTTGTAATGAGCAAGGTCAAAGTTTCCCTTTATGGTTTGTTTTATTCACCATCATCATCAACAACAACATCATCGTTTTCATCATCATCTTGTTCAAATCATTTTAAAACAATCTTGAGTAGGAGAGCAAATCAAAAGTGTTGATAACGGATAAAACTATTTCTCTCTTCATTGCCAGTTCTATCAGCATTATTCAATTGTTTACCTGATGGTGGTTAGTAGCTGTTGCTACCTATTTGCTTATAGTTAGTCAATGGGTTAACTAAGTCAAGGTTTGATGTCAGCCTGTTGAATGCTTTAAATATTATAATTTGATAAGAGATACAAGTTGAAAAGAAATTAGCGTCAACAAGCCTCAGACGATGAACAAAAAAAGCTGATTTCTACTCTACATGATTGTTGATAAACTCTTTCTTTTTTCACCTTTGCTGGTGGCTAAACTCGTCTTCTGTAAGATGATGAGTAGAAAAATGTTTGCAACTCTTTGTTTGCTTTAACATTTTTTCTTCTCTCCTCAACCAACTTTGAGGTAACGAATCAAACAATAGTCAACAGTCAAAAGTTAATTTAAACACATTCACCTTCTACTTTTTTTTCTCCCTCATTTCAAGGTACTGAAAGTGATCACAGATTATAATAAGGGTGATGATGATGGTTATTGCGATGATGATAATAATGATGGTGATGGTGATGGTGATTGATTGTCTATTCCAATTGATAAATTTTTAAAATCATCCAAGGATGACCAATTTTCAAGGAAAGAAGAGAAGAGCAAAGATCAATTTCCAAATTATATATAATGAAGGAAAGGAGCATTTCAAGGATTACCTGGAAGAAAAGGTTAACATACATAAAAAAAGTGGATGGAAAAGATTGATGATGGTTTGACCAACAACCAATGATCCAAGCCTCATCATTATCTTCTCAGCCCCTTTCCTACTCTTGATAATTCAACAGGCCATTTCATCATCGTTTCATTTTGCCGGAATTAACATAAATTTTGATTTATACGTTGACACATTAGAGATTAAAAAACGAAACATCAGTCCACTAGAAACGCAGTGGACAAGGAATATAAAGAAACATTTGACCATTTTCAGGTGAAGCTCTCATCATTATTACAATTGAAGCATTGTGACTCTAATCAGTTGCTCGTCTCTTTTGTTTATCCCAACCAGCTTAACAAGAGGTTACAAAAATTACCAGATTGAGTGAAGCTAATTTATAATGATTTGGAGAGACCAAATGAAGTAGGTTTTGGAGGCAATTTGATGAATCCAATGGCTTTTGTACGAAAATTTGAAACTCACACCACTTATCCATTTGGATGTTAATGATGTTGATGATGGCTGGTAATTCAACAGATAAAATCAATCAAATATCAAGATACAAATCCAACCAGAATCATGATAAATTGATTAACCAGTGCATGGGTTACATTGATGAATTTTTAATCAGCAAATCATCGTGCTAATTTAAGCTGAGGCTCTTCTACACTTTAAATTGATATGAAATTCACAACCCATAAGTTATTTAAGGGTAAAATTAAAACAGAGGTTTTCATTAATAATTGTGATGAATGATGGTGATATTTATCAGTGGATCACGATTATTTTTATTGTTTTCCCATTCGTTTCCCATTCTGTTTGAATTTTATTTTCCATTGTTAACCATCATCTTGAATCTTATTGAATTCATAGAGATTCACCATTATCATCTGTTTATCATCATCTG